TGTATTGAAATGGCCATTTGTACCAGATACAATCCATGTTTCATTTACAGCAATTACATGAGGCTTACAATTCAGTGAATTCACTAGTGCTTCAAATTTTGTGTAGTTTTTGAAAGAGGCTAAAGATCTGATATTGAGTGAAAGAGTCGTGAAACCACTTAGTTTAAAACTATCATTGAATTTGAGGTCATTGACATCACTAGAGCAAATATACTGATTTGAGCTGTTGTACATGAAAACACTGTTTATGTTGTTGAATTCATCATTGTCAGTATTGGCTGACTCAAGAAACATTTGGTTTAGGTATTCAGGATCAAGAATTTCAGTAAGTGCCTGGGCTTCAGCTTTTGTCTGAATGAAGGGAAGTACATATTTCTAATAATTCAGAATCAGAAAGAGAAGAGAATGGTATGCAATCTTTTTCACAAAAGAAACATAAGAGAATATAGGACAGATGGTACACATATTTATTGTGGTAAAAGCGTCTTTTCCGTGAAACTTATGGAAATATGAACAAGTCAGCATTTGTTACTAAATTTCTGAGGAACCTTTTAAAACTATTTTTAGTTAGTTCCCTTATGTGCGCTACGAAACTGAAAGATAAACGGCCTCCCGCATGTCACCATAACCATCTCTTTCCTGAGAATAAATTTTCGTTTAATCACGTGACAGAGTTTCTTTGGTGCGTGTTGTGTGTGCCTTTTTCCTCCATAGACAGTTACAGTTAGGACATGCCCTTCTTTGTCGGTCTTTCCGTTTCTCTGCTGGCTGTGTTACCCGCCGTTAACTGGCTCGCTGCGGGATAAGTACGGTGGGTTTACAATTTGAATATATTTTCAGTGGTTAATGCCTTCCTGAACATTGCCCATTTTGTATATCTTATTTTCTAAAACATTTTGACGGTACCGGTACCGTACCGGTATTGGTGATTGAAGAATCAAAGATAAGCTGTACCGGTAACGACGAATTAAAGAAGGTAGGTATGACTGTGTGATGGTACCGTACAGACATCAAGTCAATTCGTAAAAGTCTTTTGAACAGACTGACAGACCCAGTTCTGAACCACTTATTGTTTCCAGAATTGGGAAAAAGTAAACGCAGTACCGGTACCACTGCTCAAATATTGTCAAACAAAAATGTTCCATCCAATTGAAAGGGTCCAGCTGCACACTAACACAAATGTACCGTATTTTTGTAACATTTCATCCGACCAGAGTCAGACTTCCTCAGACAAGCAGTTTACAACAATTTGTACAGTTTGTTGTAAACTGCTTGACTGCTGGACTGAGGAAGTCCTACGGTACCGGTACTCCTGTACTCTGGTCGGACGAAACGTTACAGAAATACATTTATGTTAGTGTGCAGCTGGACTCTTTTATTCTGTAATTGGATAGAATAGTCATGTTCATTCCAGCTACAGTACCGTAAAAGCGCCTAACTTCGGACAGTTCCTAACTTCGGACAAAATTTTTGAACGGCCATATCTTGGCTAAAGCGCGCCGTATATTGCTAATTTTAATTATTATAGGTTGCGCTGTTATATCTACATCTATTCTCATATTTTTTAATGTTGCATAATTATTTTTTTGGTAAAAAAACGGAAATTTTGCCGAAAATTGACTGCCCGGCATTCAACGGCGCAGAGCGTCGCTTCTACTGAAGCTATCATCGTCAAAATACCATCATTCGGTAGAGGGCGACAACAATGTATATAATTTATTTGAGTGATCGCAAGATGTCGTACGAGATTTAAATAAAACCTAAAATTCTGAATTATAAATTCCGTAAGAATATTAAGATTTCACGCAGCGTCAAAAATTACGTCAACCTCACGTAGATTATTTTTCGCTCACTTCCCACACGACGTCACACTGCGTCGCGGAAATGAATTTTGACGCCAGACACAACGGAGCCAATATGACAATTTCCGTTAAGATAAAGACGGCGTTCCAATGTAATATTTTTGTATTTTGTTCGGTCATGTATGAATATATGCCAAAATTACATTAATGAAAATACATGTCACACTTAATCGATGACGTTAAAAATCGAATATATAAAACCATGATAATTCCAACGTCCATATGGCACAGTGCACTGACTTAACCAATATTTTATGATTAGTAGTCGAAATGACAGTTATTGAATACGGCCTGGGTGAATTTTATTCACTCGAAATTAAAAATAAATTTTATCTCCAAGCCAACAAATAAACGGGACCTACATGTTAACAAGATTAAGTTGAATTTTAAATAAAACTTTACAATCGGATTTACCGTGTGTTTGATATAAACTATCATTTATAAAGATAGCCGCGCAGAATCAAAAAAAAGCTATCCGTCGAGAATAGTAATACTTCAAAGACTTCGATAGAAGCCCGTTAAAATACTTCATTGTGGATTGAAACGGTTTGCATCAGATATATTTACGTATGCATTTCCTGATTAAAATGACTAACGTGTTATTATACTCATCTGAAGTATCGAAAATAACGAACGAAAGATGTAAACATAGGACGGCGGAAGTTTCAAATAATGCATTTTCGTCGTGACGTCAATGTTACGTTACGACGACGATCGAGCGTCTTATCTTCACGCAACGACGTGATTACGTCATCGGCATCGGAAGCCTCTTTCTCTCTGTGCGTCGCGGTTACGCAGTGAAGAAAATGACTGTCCGAAGTTAGGGCAGTGAAGGATAACGGTCAGTTGGCAAGAAATATCGATTATTTCAATAGTAAAAATAGTCCAATTGAACCGAAATTTGCAGGGAATGTAAATTACCGCACGAATGTTTTACCGAGCAATTTTGGCACCGTTTGGACAATAAATGGCCGAGTTATTGACGAAAATATAGTAATTTTGTCCGAAGTTAGGCGCTTTTACGGTATCCTTGCAGTATAAGCATACGGATCCACTAGCATAAAGGCATAGAGAAAAGATAGGAAGTTAGTCCCGCGCAACCCAACTCAAATTTAAACAAAAATGTGATGTGAAATTTTTATGATTTCAAGAAATCTGTCTGATATGAAATGAAATGCTGTGAAGGCTACATTTTTAGACTTCCAGAATGTTGAGTTACCGTATCTGTTCTTGCTTTCTTGAATTATCCGAGCTGTCACTGAATCGTGCACCAGTGTTCTGGTGTTAGTTCACATATTTATCTTCCTGTTTATTATGTTCGGTAAACCAAGTTGGTAGTTCTATTGTAAGCTTACTCAGTACAATGCTGTTCAGAATATCGGTTTGGAGAGGTTAAGACCAATGCTGGTTTCATTCATTCATTGCACACATTTGGTCCCCTGAACTCATACTGATGATCCCTGGTTTACAATCTCTCTGTGATGATGTCATGTACAAAATATACAATGCCCTTAAGTTAGTTCGGCACAGTTCTCAGATCCCAAGAATATCAATTATAACGATGAATGCAAACCCCTCCTTGGCGCAACGATATGGCTCATCGCGCTGAGCGTTAGAAATACACTCGCCACCGCACCTCTTGCTTGATCTGTGTGAGTTTGCAGGTTTGAGTCCCATGTGGGGATAGTCACCTGCGAGAGGATTGCTGGACTCCTCGCCATCGTCGGGTGGTTCACGTAACCGCTGGTTAGTTACGACTTCCTCCACTATCAAGTCCATGCTTTAGTAGAAAACAATTAACTAACTAATCCCATACCCGGCATGGAATGGTAACCGAATGAGATGCCATGGTTCGCCATATGGTTAAGCCTTCTTATCGGCTTTCTTTTCCCCCGGGATAAATATGTAAATCATATCCTTCACAAGCCAGTCAGGCCTAAAAGGAAGCGCAATCTAAAATTGACATTATTGGATCTGTTGAAAAAAAGAATCAGATTTACCGAATGAAAAAATTTGATTGTAGCATTTGCGAGTATTTAGCAAAAACTACAAATTTGGTCACATGACGGCCTATGCACGCCGCGATTGATTTATATTATTGAGACCATCATGGTGCGATATGCTGTCGTGCCTGAAGTTATTGTTTCAGAGACATATAGTGTTTGTTTTATTGAACCTATTGTCTGGACATCGGAATCGCAGAACTGTGCCTGACTGCAAGAACAGCATTTTATTAAATTATACTGGGAATCTTGCTCATACTTTATTATGGTATATGTTCAACAATACATACATAGTCACTGATAATTACGACTTATACAAATGTGCGAGTTCTATATTTTGAGTGTCTTAGTGTGAATTATTTTTGCTTTGTAGAAGTTGCTTCGTTTTATAAGTAACAATGTCTCATGAACAATGTCTCGCTATAGCATTTCCTTGCTTTTAGTTTTCTGGGAGGGCAATAATGCTTTGGGAATTATTTGCTTTTTTTATATATTTTTATATTAAATTTCGGTTTGAATCACACTGCCACCTTAGGCCTATTTGTCATATTTCTCTACATATCACCAAACCAAATGTGACCTAACAATAGTAATTGAATTCGTCATACTCTGTTCTGTATAGGTTTAGGCTCAGTTTGTTGCCATTTGTGTCATAATGTTGTCAAAGCATTATATACCTATGGACACAGAATATATTGTGAACAGCATATCAGTGTTATCATTTACTGACTCTTCAACTATGACACTTTAATGCATAATTCAAAAAGCACAATACCATTAGGTTGACAACTATATTTTAACATTTACGTCTGTTTGCAAGAGCCACGTCCAAATTTGTGCACGTTCGCCTAGAATTGACAGGTGTAGTGTGTAATCCATGACCATGTAGTTGATGAAGCAGCACAAGAAATGTTTTGCAGGGAATATGCTTTCTGATATTTGAGGGGAAAATACTATTAGAATATTTTAACTCAGTCGTACTTGTATGTTTTAATAAGACATGAAAATCATTTGTAAATATTCGTGATGGTCTATTTATGAAGCATCTTTATTCTCAGTTCTACAGTTACACATTTTTTTGTTTATATTTATCTCAATCTGCCAATATATTTAATTTATTTAAATTCTATCACAGCATTAAACTAAAATACCTAGTTCAAACTATTCTGTGTAGTATAAGGTACAAATATGTCACAAGCCGCGACAAATGGACCGAATTTGGAAAACCAAATGGCCAATTTGGACATAAATTCTCGAGGGGGTGGCAGAAACTATGGAGGAGGACCTCAAGGCAACTATATGCCACCGCATATGAGACAAGAATATGGGCGGTCTCGAGGAAACCCACAATATATACAAGGACCACCTCAGCAAGCACCTCAGCAGTATGGTGGTGCTCCAATGACTGGGCCTAATGGAGAGCTTAGATATGGCGGACCACCTCAGGGTCCACCAGGACACATGCATCCAGGGCCACCAATGCCTCCAATGAATCAGCCATATCGGAATGGCAGGGCTGGTTTTCAGAATGGCATGATGCGTGGTGGCCCACCGCCACGATTTGGGAATGATCGAGGTTATGGTAGCCGAGAAGGTGGTTACAGAGGCTACAATGATAGAGGAGGTTACGGAGGCAGCAGAGGAGGATACAACCGAGGATATGACAATCGTGGCATGAATGACAGATTTCAGGGCGGATGGGGAGGGCCAGCACCTCGGGGTCCATTGCCAGTAGCAGATCGTTGGTCTATGTTGGATGGCCCTGATGATGGCTATGACGTGTATCACAATCCAAGATACACTCATGACGAGGGGGATCGTCTTGCTAAGAAATGGGATGAGAGACGTGGTGGTGGAGATGCGTTTGCTGACACGGAAGATTGGAGTAAGCCATTACCAAAAAACGAAAAGTTGGAAAAAGAGTTGTTTTCTGGATCTAACACTGGTATTAATTTTGAAAAATATGATGATATTCCTGTTGAAGCAACTGGAGATGATGTACCTGACCATATCGATACATTTTCTGAATCTGAGCTGGGGGAAATTGGCGAAATGAATCTGAAGCATTGCAAATACGATCGACCGACGCCAGTGCAGAAATATGCTATCCCAATTGTTCAGAAGGGAAGAGACTTGATGGCTTGTGCACAAACTGGATCTGGAAAAACAGCTGCGTTTTTGCTGCCTTGTTTATGCAACATCTATAAGCAAGGTCCTGGAGAATCGCACAATGCAACTCTTGCCCAGCGTTCAGGAAGGAGAAAGCTTTTTCCTTTGGCTCTGATATTATCACCCACTCGTGAATTGGCTTCGCAAATTTATGATGAGTCACGGAAGTTTTCATATCGTTCCCATGTTCGTCCTTGTGTGATCTATGGGGGTGCAGATGTTGGAGCACAAATGAGAGATTTGGATAGAGGTTGTCATCTTCTTGTGGCTACTCCAGGACGTCTTGTTGATTTCTTGGATCGTGGAAAGATTGGATTGAAATATATTCGATTCTTGGTATTGGATGAAGCAGACAGAATGTTGGATATGGGATTTGAACCACAGATTAGAAGAATTGTGGAAGAAAACAAGATGCCAGTGAAGGGGGAAAGACAAACACTTATGTTCAGCGCTACATTTCCCAAAGAAATTCAAATGCTAGCTCGTGATTTCTTGGAAAATTACATTTTTCTTGCAGTTGGAAGGGTTGGATCAACTTCTACAAACATCACTCAAAAGGTGATTTTTCAATTATATTACTCATGATAAATGTTTATTGTCATTATAATTACTTGCTTTCTATACTATTTTAGTCAATACTAAATTCACTTTTAGTAATCTTATGTTTCAGGTGGTTTGGGTTGATGAAGATGAGAAGCATAAATTCCTTTTGGATCTGATCAATGCGACTGATGCCAATTCGCTCACTCTGGTATTTACTGAAACAAAGAAAGGTGCAGATGATTTGGATGAATTCTTGTATTCTCGTAAATACAAATCAACCAGTATCCATGGTGATAGATCCCAACGTGAACGAGAAGAAGCTCTGCAAGCTTTCAGAACAGGTAATAAAATTTTCAATTGTATCTTATAGTATATTGGTCATACCTCTTTGAAACCCCGAGATATTATTCAGACAAAACTAGGTTACAGAAAATTTGGCACTAGTTACTAAAACTTTTCATATCCATCTTGGAATATGATCTTAATAAATGCTCTACTGTGACATTTTTATTCTTGCGATATACTTCAACCAACGATCATAGGTGCAATTACTATAGTCGTTAAATTTTTCTTATGTAGGTGAATACCCTATCTTGGTGGCTACTGCTGTGGCTGCCCGTGGATTGGATATTCCCAATGTTCGTCATGTTATCAATTTTGACCTACCAAGTGATATTGATGAGTATGTGCATCGTATTGGTCGTACTGGTCGTGTTGGTAATGTTGGTTTGGCAACTTCATTCTTCAACAAGAAGAATTTAAACATCGGCAAGGATCTAGTTGATTTGCTCATGGAAGCTAACCAAGAAGTTCCACCTTGGCTGGAGCAGATGGCTGTCAATCACCAGAAGGGTAAACCAATGAGGGGTGGTGGCGGAAAGCGTTTCACTGGAGGTTTTGGATCTCGGGATTACAGGCAACAGTCCGGCCGAGGGGGCGGAGGAAGAGGAACAGGCCAGAGGGGTATGATGCCCGCACGTGGAGGAGGAGGAGGAATGGGTGGTGGTGGTGGTGGTGGATGGGGAATGCCATATTATCGTGGTAATGATTATGGAGGATCATATGGCAGCTCTGGTGGATCGGAGGACTGGTTTGGTAATTAGACAATCTTCTAGCTAACTGTTCTCTGTTGTCACTGTACTTATGAAATAAGTACCCATTAATTAGGCAATAACTGTATATAAATGTGCTGTCGTCCAAAAGATTCATGGAGGTGACAAGAAACAGAAATCTGGTTAGTGATACTCAATTCAACGATTCTTTCAATAAGTTAATTTGCCAGGGAGCCCTTGTAAATATTGTCTAGGTTTCCCTTGTTATTACCTGCATAATTATGTTCTGTGTGGCAGATATTTTGTTGTGGGCTGGTTATTAAAATATTTAGTCACAATAATTTTGGGATCAAAACTTCCCAACAGCTGTTGAGATGCAATGCCGATTTGACAATGTACAAAAATGTAGTATTCTTTAAGATTGATTGTAATTTTACCAGAACCCGCGAACCAACCATTAGACTGACAGGATAGATAAACTCACAGCTGGATTGCTTAGTTTTGGTACCATTGTTGCGGCGATTACCTTATGTACTAGAACCAACATCATTTTCCACATGGCTCTTGTGTAAAGTGTCGCACTCTAGTAATTTCTTGAAGATGTCCAAATTTTGTATATATCACAGCCAAGAACAATTTTTTTGGTTGTGAATATGCGGGACAATATGTACACACTTGCCAAGAATGTTTACTGTCGTAAATATTCTGCAAACTATTTTGATTCAATAGTGCACTGTACCTTTTTCAGTCATTAATATTTACGGAAAAGTGTATTCTATGATATTTTTTTTACTAGTATAAATAAATTGTAGGGCACATTCTCGCCTGTGTTTAGTCAAATTAAATAGTGATCAACCAAGTAATAATTAAAAATTCGGGGAATCCAGAAAGTAATATTTTACAATTTGGTTTAAATTATTTATTACAGTAAATTGTATGAACTAATTATTATTACTTCTATCATGTTGATTTATAGAGTAATCTTTAAGTAATCTTAATCCAAATTTTGGAACCTTGAATAATTCGAAAAGATTATTTTGAGCATTCCAGTAAAAAATTTTCCAAGAGTATATATCAATCATGAATGCATGACAAAAGTTTATGTGTGAACTGTGAAGAATAAGTTGATCTCACTTGAATGTTTCATATTTAGTATAGTTCACACTAGTGCTGTATTTTTTTAAGTATGCTGTGCTTTTTTATTCCTTTGTATCGCGAAAACCACTGTGAAATTAATGCTTCCCTAAAAGTATATACATGGAAGTTTTCCTCACGGAATGGTCCATTTTATACCTCTTTGCACATATTTTTGCATAAATCTTAATTTATTGATTGTAATATGGAGCCTTTCTGAATTTTGTTCATTTTTGACAAGAACTTTGAGAATCAATAAGATTTTTTTATTCTTGGATTATTGTCATGCTTATTTTATACCAGTCAAAAACTGCCCTTTTTATTTTTTAAATTGTTATGCCTAGCTTCTTCGACATTGAGCTGCTTTTAGTATTCTGTTGTAAACTAGCTGAAAAGTTCATTGTGTTTTTTGTTTTTGAAAAAATTACTGTGCAATCTAGAGGTATGAAACATATCGCGATTTCAGAGGAAGCGGGCTCTAATAAGAGCCATAAAATAACTAGCCCGCAATTTGCTTTATAAATGTGGGCATATCTTGCACAGCATGCTTTTTATATATTTTTACAGCAATGCGAGGTTATTTTTGTTTTAGGAACATATTTCATAAATTTAGGGAGCTGGATTCCCAATGCCAAATAGTAAATGTATCAGTAATGTATAAAGTTATTGCCTATATAAAATATTACAAAATTCCAGTGCTCTTTGTAATCTGGTTTTTCTGATATTAGTGTCAATATCACTTTGTGATAAAATCATGGATATAAAATTTCGTAAGAGTATTTTTATAGGAAATTGACGGTCGGGCTCTAATTGTTTAAACTCAACTGGTAATTATTTTACAAACTTGCATAGAATGTAAGTTTATCGAAAATAGAAGCCGACATCTTCATTTTTAGATGTCATTTCAGCCATGACACTGACACTAATGATTACATTAGACTGGCAAATATTGGGGCAATAGTTAAAAAGTTTTGTTAAAAGTAAAATGTACAATTGAAATTTGTGATTCACTTTTGAAATCCCATTTACAGTATTTTCCAGTTGATGTGCATTTGCTGATGCAGCAAGTGACTTGGCCTTAGAAATACATATAGAAGATTTAAGTGCTTTCTCACAAGGTCTGATGCTTTGTATATTTAAATTAATGAGTCTTTTTTTGACATGGTACAGTGTGTATTTAAATATTTATGCGACACAAAATTAGTGCAGCCATGTGGTAGATTAAAAAATAAGTTTGATATTATTTGTTTTGTTGCTGTAAGTGTTTTACAGTCTTTATAAGTTAGAGCTTATGTCAAAAGCTTTAACAGGATTTGACAGTTTCATAAATTTTGCAATATTGTATATCTAAATATCCATTGAGGATGTTTGTATTTTGCATAATACTATCACACATCGAGAAACGTGATATGTTAATTACAATCTTATGTAAGTTTAGCTACTTTGATATCTTCAATCAATTCCACAAGTTTGGCATCAATTTTAATCACTTTAAGGCTACAGTTTTGAACTGTTATTCTAGCGTTATACTTTTATCATTGCTTTCTGGGACGTCACTAATTCAAAGATGTTGGCTTTCTCATGTGCAAATGAATTATAAATCAATGGTAGAGGTGCTGCTGATCTGTATATCATACTTATAGGCACCTACTGTCTCACAGCGATTTGTGCATTAATTTACATGGCTAGAAGCAATTTATACCCAGTATGCAGGTATTAGTATATGCGTTATGGCTTTGTCTATGTCAATAATAGTGATTTGAATTGATTGCTTTGCTGAAATTGGTTTTAAATTTGATAACACTTTTCTTACCCATATGAAGATACACGACTGCTATCCATTAATTGTTTTTGTTGCGTATAAGCTCATTCCATTTGTTAGTTTTCATGAGTATTCAGCTTTGGAACCTGGGACTAAGGTGTCAGTACATATTGAATGTCACAACAGTTAACACTATCAGGGAAACACTGAGTAAGAGTAAATTGCTAAGCTTGTGTAAATTTTGGGTTTGTATGCTTCTTGTTTAAAAAAGATCCCTGACTATGTGTATCGATACCTTCTTTGGGAAATCAGTGACGTACATAGTTTAGACGCCAGGTTATATAACAGTGAATTTGTCATATGATAAGGACTAAGTTCAGAAGTTTTCGATCACTCCAAAAATCCGTGACTATTTTTAAAAACACGTCATCTGTTGCAGTGCTTTATAATGCAACCACAAAGTCCACAATGGTCGAAAGAACGCGAAAACTTTCATTCGATTTGGTTGCTAGTATACTCACATTAGTTTACAATCTTAGGACATTTCTTGCAGCCGGTTTTGCGATATATTACATTGCAAAAAATAACCCGGCAATGTTGATATTACAAATTCTGCTTATTAACATATTTCAAGCATTCAGTAGAATGGTTTGCTATCACTGACATACCATATGCAGTTGATATCCACCAGAATTCAGTGTTTTTCAACAGGTGTTCCCTGAGAGACTTACGGGTGTTCCGCGTCAAATTGTTTCATTTTTTTATATTTCATAATAACAAATCCAAATACGTTTCTCTACGAACGGACTTCCTAGTTTATTACCGAAACAATGGCAACAAATAAACAGCAAAATGTAAAAGGAAACGTAACAATTGAAAATCATTCAGGAGCCATTTTGGACATGGTCTCGAACATTGCCTCGCTTTGTAATGTTAGGGGTCATTGGTCAACTTCTATCGTTTTCAAAACTTAGGTTTAAATCAAGCGGTATTGTCTTAATAAAAAAAATTCTCAAAGCTGGACCACGCGTGGGAACTTTGGTTTAATTGAAGTACCGTAATGAAGAAAAGAAAAAACTATTACGATTATTTCAGTGTAGGGGAGACCGGGGTTAGTTGGTATACGGGGCTTGTTCAAACGGTCGAATTTTCTACGAGATGACGCGCCCAAATTACGTGATTGCTTGGCAGCAAGCAAATCGCGACCAACGTCGCCGTTTCACCTGCTGCGGAGCAAGGAGTTAGAGCTAGTTTTGTAATTTGTAGAGCAATATCGTTCAAAATCGGATGCAAATTTTGGTCTAACTAGAAGGTTAATTTTTTTTGTTTGCTCATGAATGTGAGGTACCATAGGGCAAGGCGATTCGGCTGATATTGCGCCACTGGGAACAGGTATAAGAGAGGCTGACATTGGCGGAGATTCGGCTGCAGGACACCAACTGTTCCGGTTAGGGCGGCCATTTTCGTTCGACTTGTCACGTCGGGATCAGTTGGAACTTTACTGCAAGGGGCAATATTTACCGTTTCAACCTGCCCCGTGTGCCTCACATATCGATTAGGCCGCTATCCCAAGCTTATTGAGAGCAATCAGTCGCAGTGTTGTGCCATGTTAAGACAGTCGTAGGTGATTACGTTAAGAACTATTGTCCTAACATTTATCCACAGTTTTATCATTTTCTAGTGAGAATAATTCAACGAGAAATGAGGAAATACAAACGTAGAAGTTACCGAGGTCAAACTTTAAAAACAGAAATGCTGCATGCGGTAAAGGAAGTTGTAGAAAATCAAAAAACCATCAGACTGTCAGACAAGTCGGCAACAAATTTAGTATTTCCCATGTGACCCACACTAGGTATGTTAAAAAGTATAGGAAGGATTCTGATGTTGAACACGTAGGCTACAAGCAAAGCAGACTCGTCTTCAACGCAGGAAAGGAAAAAGAATTAGCAAAGTATGCAATCAGAGCAGCCAAATTGTTTTTCGGTCTCACACCCTTGGAACTTCGGAGGTAGCGTATGATTTTGCGAGGGCGATAGAAGAAAATCACGAGGAGAGAAAGATACAATACCGTGAGTCCTGGGGAGGGGAGAAGCAGGCTGGCAGTGATTGGTTCTCAGATTTTATGAGAAGAAATAAGAACATATCAATTAGAACACCATAATCAACATCAATAGCACGGATGTCTGCCTTCAACGAACACACTGTAAGGATATTTTGTAACTTGTATGAAATCATGGACGAGTATCATTTTAAGCCCTCTGAGATATAGAATGTCGATGAAACCGGATGTTCCACAGTGCAACGTCCAAGCTTAATTTTTGCAGAGAAGGGCACTCGTCATGTGGGACTGCCACTTCCGCTGAAAGGGGAACCATGGTAACGGTTCGTTGTGCTGTAGTGCGATAGAAAGTCGACGAATTTTAAACAAGGGAGAACACATCACAATATACGACATTCCACAACTGGCGTCTCAGAGCTTCCACAGGTCGTTTCCCAAATCAAATATAGTCAAGCGGATTTTCCAAAACAGGTATCTAACCTTTGGATAGGAATATTTATGTCGAAGATGACTTCTTCCCATCTCGGGCCACTGAACGCCAATCCCCTGAAGAAGTTGCCGTGGAAAACCGAGAGCCATCGCAGGTCGAGTCTGAAACCGGCGTGACTTCAGAAATGGTCCGACCAATCACGAAACCCAAGCTACAGGCGCGAATGATCGGTGTGAGAAGAAAACATAAAAAAAATTCTGTATCTTAACTCGAACCCATGAAAAAGACTTGGCTTTAGCTAGATATCTGAAAAAGAGCTCATCTAATACCAAAACTATATGTAACGTAATACGTAGTCTTACGTTCATTCCACTGTGTGGCGCTTATGCGTTGCGCATTTGTTGTGTTGCCACGTGTTTTTGATTACTTGTCCTTTTTAAGTCGTGTCTGTTGCATCGGACACACTGTTCTTTTCTGTTCTCTGACCTTGATGGCTGGGTATCGTATCCTAGCGTTGAATACAAAAGTGCACCGTGAATATTTCTTGACTGTTTAATCGTGTGAACCTGTGGACTGGGGCAACAGAATAGCCGAGTATTTGCCAGTATTCAAAAGTCAATTAAGCTGTCGTTTAGCGAGGAAGTAGACGGTCTTTTCTACACAGTATATCACCGTCGAACGCCATCGCCTAAAAACCCCGCTACGTTACAAATTGGTGGCAGCGTTGTAAGAGCGTGGATGACGACTATTGACTATTCAAAGTTTTATTTGGAGTTTGCTTAATACAAGAAGGCGAGTACTACCAGACTACGGGACTCGGAAATCTTAAGAACTCTAATCAACCTTCAGTTCTCTGGTCTTGCAGACACAACAGAAGATTGCGTCAACTCAACAACCAAAACACCGATTGCTATCAGCATATCATCGCGTTAATAATCACATTGCTCGAGAGTCGAGACAACTTCAAATGAGTTGGACAATTCGCTTCATCAAATCAAGATCCGTTACTTGGTTGTAGAACACTTGAACAATTAGTGCAATTAAATTGGATTGATAAACGACGAACTGGACAGTGACAGACTTTTCTAATATTTGTTGCGGTTTATGGAATTGCGCAGCAGAAATCTCCAAAACATTCTCGAAACAACTACAAGTACCTATATTTCGAGTACTTCAATAACTGCCACTCCACATCGACACAACAAAAAAACAATTCCACGTAAAATAATGAACCAATCAAAAGATGAAGATATTCCGTCAACTTCTGGTGCGACTTCAGAAGAAGAAATTATCGTATCAAGTATGTCTAACACTTTTGTTACTTTTCTGGTTTTACTACTGGCGTAACAACACCAAGTGTTAGGAGTAACGATACTACCATTGTTACCACCCTATCTAAACCCGTTAATTCAACGTCTTAGCTGGTGTTGCTTATCCTAGTAGTCAACTACCAAATATGTTTATGGGAATATTCCGTATCAAATGTATTGTCAGAATTATGCTCCTTATTTCCCTAGTAACCCTCCTATGGTTTCTCCGCAATATCCATTTTACCAGGGGGTCCCAACAGCCCGCCCCCCAACAACAACCTATTCAACAACCGTATGTACAATTTGTACCGGGGGTCGAGGGACGTCGTCCTGATGTTACAACGGGAAGATTATCAAATTGCTCATTCAGCAACAAAAACCCTTAACCGTAGTATCAAAGTTTTTCATGACGGGGATGATCCGAATAAATTTGCACTTCGGTTTAATGCTAGTTTATCTCATACCGAAGCTAGGGATGACCCCTGCAAAAGCAATTTGCTTGTATGGGTTCATTGATGCTGATGTTCTTACCCGCTTGAAAACTATTATTCCTGCCCAAGACAGTTTTAATTCTGATGCTATTTTACAATATTTGGTAAAGTTTTCTGGTACCGCTGGTGAAACTAGTCCCCACCAGAAATTTAGAGATCGCATACAGCAGGTTGGCGAAAGCTATAATGCGTATGCTCAGGATCTCGAACATTTGGGTTATTTGGCATATGGTAAAACACCAACTACAGAAGATATACTGTGCCAACAATTTAAGTATGGCCTTAGAAATAAAAAGAGCTAAAGAATTTTTAGATATGGTTGGACCTATGAATACCTCTTTTCGGTGTTTATGTTAAATGTCTATGGAGAGGGCTGCTAATACGAAACAGTTTGCATATAATTATGTGATCCTAATATTCACAAAACTCGCAAATCAATGCGATGAGCTCAAAGCAAAAGATATAGCGTAGTGGCGATTTCAGACTGCCAAAACTAATCGCAGGTAAACAAAATGACCGCCCGAGGCACGGATGGATCATGTTTAACAGGAGATGTCGGGGTGGCCGTGGAGGTTTCTTCAGGCACACAGAGAACTCGAAATCGCGATGGTTGTAGTTTCATTGTAGAAAAGACTAACCACACATAGATGAGAATTGTTTTGCTTTACAGAAAGTCGTTACGTAGATATAAGAATATAAAGATTAAGGATGATAAACAGTCCAAATCCGATGTTAACACAGTGTTAAACACGGAAAGGGTTGGGGAACTGAGGCCAGTCACCAACCCGAGAATAGATTCCAAGGTAAATCCCCGAATCAAATGAACGGCCTGTAAATGAAACTGGAAAACCCTTGACAACTAAAGCATATGAAGAATATGCTAAGAAAGTCTCGAACACCCCTTTCCAATGTTACTAACCAGCACAGGGAACTGCGTACTCCGTTTACACCGAATTTTGATCGGGCGATAATTTGGCATGCAAATACTATCATA